AGACGACATCGCTGGAAATAAGAATCTTTTTACCTGAAAGTTGTAGTAATTCATAAGCTTTCTTTCCAGGGGGGATAGCCTAATAATATGCAAGCACTAGATCTTGGTGAAAATTTATTTCTTAGGGATTTGGGAACCACTGCATAGCACAAGCAACCGAAACTTCTCAAATGACTGTAGGAAGGTTTTTGACCGAAAAGAAGCTCAAATGGGGTCTTCCCAGATAACACTGAACGGGGAAATCTATTGATCAAATATGTTGCAGTGAAAATACAATCACCCCAGAAATGAATGGGAAGTTTGGACTGATACAATAGGGCTCTTGCTGTTCCCAGCAAATGTTTGTGCTTTCTTTCGACAATGTCATTTTGTTGAGGTGTATAGGGACAAGAATTTTGGTGCATCACACCTTTGGAGAGGAAATATGTTGTGGCTTCACGACTGGTTCCATGTTCCAAGGCATTATCTGTTCTTATGGTTTTAATTTTGATGTTAAACTAGGTTTCAATCGTGCAAAAGAAAGATTTTAGGACAGACAATGCATTACTTTTGTGACTAAGAAGATGTGTCCATGTATATCTACTATAATCATCCACAATTGTCAGGAAATATTTATATGATTTTTGTGTTGCAGTATGATATGGTCCCCAAACATCCACATGAATAAGATCAAATAAACGAGAAGAATAAGATTCACTGTGAGAAAAAAGAAGTCTTTGTTGTCTAGCAAGAGGACAAATTTCACAAAGGAAAGGTTGTCTATTACATGTAGGAACATTCAGACATTCTATTCTCTGCAATTTTGAAAATGGAAGATGTCCCAATCTATGGTGCCGCAAAACATGGGACTTATTTACATTTATTATATTTACATGAACAGATATAGGAACATGAATAAAAGTTGAGGGAGAATATGATTCTGCAGTAGAAGAAGTTGAAGAAATTCTGGGATTGATCAAGTAGAGCCCTTCAGCCATCTTACCAAGTTCCAATGGCTTCTTCGGAGAAGGGCCCTGTAAGTAACATGCAAATTGTGTAAAATATACTAGAGAAGAAGTATTAATTAAAAGTTTGTGAACTGAAATAAGATTATACTTGAAAGTAGGCACATATAGAACTTTGGACAAAGTAACATGGGAATTGACTTGGACAGTGCCAATAGATGTGACTTTCACTTTATAGCCATTAGGTAAAGTGACAAGATATGAGATAGATAGGTTAGTTAAATTGGTGAGTAATGATTTGTTGGAGGTCATGTGATCTGATGCTCCAGAATCTAAAATTCAAGTATCAGAATTTAGCACACTACTTAAACAAGCATAACTCCTGTAGATTGAGAGAGAATAATAGGCAGGTATACCTGTAAAATTAGCTGCACTAGAGACGGACTGATTCTGATTCTGTGGATCATCAACCTGAACATTTTGAAAAATATTCATGATCTGCTTGTATTGTTCTGGAGTAATTGTATTTGGGGAAAGAGCAGTGTCAGGACCGCCATCAGATGTTGGATCAGCAGAAGAAAGCACATTAGCAACAATCCGCACATTCTTATTTCCAAACTTGAAATTTTGAGGAAAACCATGAAGTTTGTAGCATTTTCTATCACATGCCCATTTTTCTTGCAATACATGCAAAACAGCTTCTTAGGATCAACATAACCCTTTTGATTATTGAAATTCTGAGTAGTAGGATTGTTGAAATTCTGAGTTGTGCGGTTGTTGAAATTGTATCTCTGATTAGGATTGACAGATTGTGGTGCTTTTTGATTGTAGCTTGTCCCAACAGATAATGAGACAGAGTCAGATTGGAAAATAGGCACATTATTTATACCCCTTTGCTTCTCATCCTGAATAATCAGTGAGTAAGCTTTACTGATGTCTGGAAGAGACTCCATCATAAGAATGTTTCCCCGAGCATTACTCTATGCTTCATTTAAACTTTACTGATGTCTGGAAGAGACTCCATCATAAGAATGTTTCCCCGAGCATTACTCTATGCTTCATTTAAACCCATCAAACTGCATTAGTTTTTGATTTATATCCTAGGTTTTTTTTTTTTTTTTTGTGATTCCTCTGAAACATAGAAAATCAGAGAAATGAAGCTATGAAAACACAAAATCTATGCCGGATCATTAATAGAAAGCCCTGATACCATGTTGGATTTGATGAGATAATTGGAAATCATACATGAACAAGAGAGAACAGAAGGTTCGATAGAATGGGAGCTGCCAGATATTTTGATGAAATGGGTATCTTAGTTCCAAAGTGGAACTACATGTCATTTATATACAATTCATGTATAACCGGGTCAACCCAAATAGAAAATACTAAACTGAAACTAAACATACATCATGACACTACAAATAATTTAAATACATGGCTCAATACTAGTCCAACAATATTTTCAGAAGAAACGTTGTAGTACTAGATATATTTCGGCTAGGACCTAGAAAAATAAAAGGAGGAAAAAAGAAGATAAAGGAGGTCTCATCAGTCTCATGGTGAGACAAGAAGAGAAGATAATAATTTGACAATAACAAAAATGACGCTAAGGGATCAATTAGTTGCTCTTTATAATTGATATCTTGATGAAAGTAGACCGTAGAAGAACGTAAAAATAGCACGGCGTAGTCAGTTTTCGTATTGGTGATTCAAAAATAGCCAGCGTTTAAAAAATTATTGAAAAATACTCACTATTTTGCTGCAACACGGAAAATTCCAGCATAATATACTGGAGATGGGTGCACCTGTGTATGAACTTCCAGCATATTATGCTGGAACTCCAACACGCGGAAAAGTTCCAGTATAATATACTGGAGATTGGAGCACCGGTACTCCATTCTCCAGTATATTATGCTGGACCGGTATATTATACTGCAACTCCAGTATATTATACTGGAACTCCAGTATATTATACTTAAACTCCAATATATTATACTGGAGTATTTTTTCGGATTTTGAACAGTTTTTTCGTTCAGATTTATTTTTACGTAAAAAATAGCAAAATTTCGATTATTTTTCAAACTGTGACTATTTTTTAAATAACCACTTATAAATCTAACTATTTTTGAATTTTTACCTACGTGAAAAATAGCTAAATTTCGATTGTTTTTCAAACTGTGACTATTTTTTAAATAACCACTTATAAATCTAACTATTTTTGAATTTCTACCTAGAAGAACGGTTGGTTCGTATTTCTTTGTTTTGCATTGTGGGCCTGTTCTATTCTCACCTAGTACTTACTAAAATTAAAGGCATGCTGATAGGACAGGTGAACCAATTGCAATAGAAAAACGTGATATTTTGTCTATTTGAATAGTGCCGCTAAATAAGTAAAGGCAATCCCAATATATCATACTATATTAAAAGTAGGAACATTGTAAGTCAAAAATTAATTTATAAATTCACCCATAAAAAATTGAGTGATAATTTTGCCCATACAATCAAATACTATTTCAACAATACTTTTTCATTGCGCCATAAGTAAGGTAATGTATGTGCTCTAGGGTGTTTGCTTTTCTTTGGAACCCTAGCTTGCTACACTACTAAAGAAGGTTTCATGCTTGTAACTCTACTTTATCTTATTTTATTTCTTGAATCGTTTCCTTTAACATTAATCTTAAACCAGAACCAACTGAGCTTTGCCAATCGGATAGCCTTACCAGCAAAATCTCCCTAAACTAACGTTTTGAAATGTTTTAATAATATCGATGCATTTTAATATTAACAAATCATCACATTTTGAGCTTGTACGTTTCTCCTTCAAATCTCATTTTAACCTTCACACACATATTTTAAATTACCTAAATACCTATTTCATTAAACTAAATATCTTATATAATAAAAAATAAAATAAAATATGATTATGCGAAGGAAAGCCAACGCTTCAGCCTTCAAATGCAATTGTCAAAACGCTTCACATAAGAAACAATTTGTATCTTATAAAATCAAAAATAAGAAACAAAATTACATGTATCTAATTACACTTTGATTATTCATCTTCGTAGGTTAAAACAATATCCAATCATCTTGATCAAAACAAGTATCATGTGATAATCCACATGATAATTCAAAGAAACTTGAACATTATCCTTTTATGTGTAATTAATTATTTACTCAAAGTTTTATTTCTATTAACAACATTGTTTACTACAAGACTAAACATACATTCACAACGCACATGCCGAGAAACTAGTTAATATGATAAGTATCGATCGTAATCTAATCTGATATTTGAATAGTGCCACTAAATATAGGATATTTGAAAAATCTTTTTAGATTCGCAAATATTTAACCTTTTTATTAATTTAAATGCATCTCAATAAAAAGAGGAAGATTTTTAAAATTTGGCACCTTAAAAATACGGTAGCATTTGTGTGACTATAAAAGCTTCCATTAAAAAAAATAAGAATGTGCAATCTTTTTTAAACGATCTAATAAAAAAATAGCGGCAATCTTTTTAAGAAGGGATTACATATTTTTACAATAGAGGGATCAAGCGGCTGGACGCTAAATTGTCACCATAACTATTTAAAAGCTTTATAAATAGACCCATGTCTCTGTATACTACACAGTACTCGTACTTGAACAGAATTTCTTTGAGTAGTTCACTTCTTTTAGTTTCAACTACTGTTAGCAAAATACGACGAAAAATGGATATGGAGTTTAAGAAAGTGAGACAGACATTTGGATCTATAAGTTTAAATTATAAATGTGTGTAATGTGCTAAAATTATTCTTTGAAATTTGTGGTCTTTAATATTCATTTTATTCATATAAGAAAATTTTAAGAATTTTAGAATTAAAAATTTACCAAATATAAAAGTACCTTTCTTTTTTAACAAATAAAAAAATGAAGGTAAAAACACATAACGTGAAACATAAGGACCACTAATATTTTACATTAGACGATCACTCAACTGGCCCTTAAATTGTCATCACTAGTAGGAGTACAATTTTTAAAGCTTTATAAATAGACTCATGTCTATGTGAACTTCTAACTTGGACAGAATTTCTTAAAATTCACTTCTCTTAATTTCTAGTTTTCTAGCCAAGAACTCCGTTAAAAGAAGAAGAAAAATGGATAGGAATGCTGGAGAAGTTAAACGGCGGTGTGACGATCATCATCCTACTGTTTGGGGAGACCATTTTGTTGCCTATGCTCATCTCTCGGTAAATTTGTATTTTAAGAACTTCTTTTTTTTTTTTTTGCGCATATTCTTCTTGTTTTTAACACACTAGTAGCTATGTCTTTGCTCATTTATTTTCAGTTGACGCAATTCTATTGATCCATCTGTTTGTAAATGTTGAAGTATGTGACTAAATATTTCATCAAATACTTTAAACTGTTAGAGAGGGCATATTTTTATTTATTTAATTGTGTTTCAACATGCCCCTCAGGTGCGGTTTGATTCTTTTTCTTAGACCAAGAACGTGAAAATTCTTTTTCGTTAATGGATGTCAGTGAGACTTCAACTCAAGATGTCTCACTGTTATGATACCATGTTAAAATGTATAACCATCTCATCTAAAATCTTATACTGTTAGAGCGTTTACTTTTATTTACTTAATTGTGTCTCAACAATAAATAATTGAGAGCACAAAGATATAAAAAGTGTTATATTTATTTACTCGCACAGGGAGCCAATGAAGGGGAAAAGAAACAGCATGAGCACCTTAAGGAAGAAGTAAGAAAAATGCTAGTGATGGCTCCTTCCAAATCATTGCAAAACCTGAACCTGATAAACGCAATCCAATGTCTCGGAGTAGCGTACCATTTTGAACATGAGATTCAGGAGTCACTGGCCTGTATCTATAGCTGTTATGAAGAATTGAATGGTGAAGCTGATGAAACTGACCTTCATCTTGTTGCTCTGCGGTTTCGATTACTTAGGCAACACGGTTATTATGTCTCATCTGGTATGCAATAGTTACTCGAGTTTTTGTTGAAAAGAGTTTAAGTTCTAGACACTGACCTCATAAAATATGATGAATTGAATCAGATGCTTTTAGGAAGTTCACTGACGATCAAGGATATTACAAGAAAGCATTGGTTAGTGACGTGCAAGGATTGTTGAGCTTGTTTGAGGCAGCACAATTCAGAGTACACGGTGAAGAAATATTGGACGAAGCAGATAATTTCACCACCACTCATTTGAAGCTATTGTTGCCTACATTGAGCAATTCTCTCGCGACGCAAGTCAGGAATGCACTAAAGTATCCAATCAACTATACTATGGTGATAGTAGCAGCGAGGAAATACATATCGTTATACCAAGAAGATAAATCATGTGATGAAGTGTTACTAAATTTCGCAAAGTTGGACTTCAACATATTGCAGAAAATGCATAAAAGGGAACTATGTGATATCACAAGGTAATTTACTAATTAACATCACAACATTGAATTATTTCTAAAAGAATACATCAATTTTCAGATCAAACTTCACATTTTTTTAGGTGGTGGAAAGAATTGGACTTGGCAAAAGCATTACCTTTTGCAAGAGACAGAATAGTCGAGTTGTACGTCTGGAGTTTGGGTGTGTACAGCTTTGAGCCCCAGTATAGGGTTGGCAGAAACATACTTACCAAAATGTTATGCTTCGTTTCTATTACTGACGATATCTATGACACCTATGGAACACTAGATGAGCTTACTCTCCTCACGAATTCAATAGAAAGGTAGTACAATCTTTATTTTTATTTTTTTTTGTAACTTACTGCTTTAGTTTGCCATGTAATAACTTGTACAGTAATTAAGTATTTTACTAATAACCTCACCTTCCGATGTAAACGTAGGTGGAACATCGATGCTGCAGAACAGTTACCCTCATATATGAAGATTTTTTACCGTGCACTTCTAGATGTTTACAGTGAAGTGGAGAAAGAGTTGGCAAGTGATCATAACAAGTCATTTCGAGTCAACTATTCTATAACTGCGGTAATTAAGTGGCGAATAGCTAATAAGTAAATTAAACTTTTTAAGGATGATTCATGCAGGGCGTACACAGAAATTTTAATAAGCAATGTCTCAGTTAATTGATGCATGGCCAATGACCCAAAGGAGTTTGGGGAGATGGTGAAAATGAAAAGCCGAGTACAGTAGCATAAATAAAAATTGTAAATTCAAGAAGAGGGTTTTTCTTGATTGAGCGTTTATAAGATGTTAAATAAAATTGTTGTTGCCTTTTCCACCGTTCGATCTACGTTGTTCATGAGTTTTTACTCTTGTACCTTTCAGAAGAAAAAGTTGGCAAGGGCTTATTTTCAAGAAGCCGAATGGTATCATGGGAATAATGTCCCAACAATGGAACAGTATGTGAAGAATGGAATTCGAACTAGCACTGTCCCATGTCTTGCGACTCTCTCTTGGTTAGGCATTGGAAATGAAGCAACGAAGGAGGCATACGATTGGATTGCAAGTGAACCTCCAGTTCTCCTTGCTTCCTCTATCATTGGTAGATTATCGAATGATATTGTTTCCCATGAGGTATACTATATAAGTAGATTTTTTAATTCAACCTTAAATATTGGAATAACAAGCATAGTAGGAAATAATGTTTTCTAGTTTTTTTAGTTCAACCCTAAATATTAACAAATATATACTTATTCCTTGTAGTAGTACTTATGAGTTCATACTTCGAGGTTCACACTCTAATGGGTTTTGCACAAATAAATATAGGTCTAGACTAAAATATATGAGTTCAATTGAACGCACACCTATAATATTAGATACGACCCTTAAATCATAGTTCATACCATTTAGTTTACACAGCAATTTTAGCTCTTGTGTTCTAATAATTGTTGCTCTTTATATGGATATGCAGAGAGAAGTAGAAAGAGGAGATGTAACAGGTGTCGAGTGTTACATGAACGAATATGGTGTCACAAAGGAAGAAGCATGCAGGGAGATTAGGAAAATACTGAAGAATAAATGGAAGGATTTGAATCGAGGATGCCTAGAACCTACCGATGTACCAAAAGTTCTGCTAATGCCACTGCTCAACCTTGCTAGGATGTGTGAGTTCGTATATAAAGATGAAGATGCTTATACTGTTTCCAAAAATAACTTCAAAGACATCGTTTCTCTGGTGCTAGTTGATCCCATTACAATATGAGAACTTGAAAAGGAAAAACATAAAGAAAATGAAGGAAAAAAAAAACACTAAAATTGCAACTCTAGAATGCTTTTATATATATGTGTGTGCGCGCAAAAAGATTTGGGTTGCTGGTTCCAGGGCAAACAGACAATGCTTATATTTGGATAAGCTAAATGTACGTATTGGAATGAATATCATTTGGTTTCGTGTAATTTGTTTAGTTGTTGGAGTTGCTCTTTTGTAATACTTATAATAAGTTATATACATGACATCTTATCAAATTTTGGACTTTGTACTGTTTTACTATTTTTAATGTTTTTAGTATTAGGTTGGGATTGGGTGGGGGGTGTCACGACCCGGAATTTCCACCGTCAGGATCGTGATGGCGCCTAACATTTTCACTTGCTAGGCAAGCCAATATTAGAAAATTATTAAGCCAAACCTTAACCAATTCAGTAAACAACAGTAAATAGCTAAAGTGAAATAAAGCGAGTGCGGAATAATAAAATAACCTCATTATTTACTACTACCCGGATCTGGTGTCACAATTTCACGAACATTCTAGGATTTTCTAGAAGTAAAATTCTGAAAGAAATACAACTGTTTGAATGAAAGAAACAGTAAAACAAAAGAGATAGATGGGGACTTCAAGGTCTGTGAACGCCGACAGATCTACCTTTAGTCTCCGGTGGTCCGGTCCGAGCTGCTATGCCTCTCGATCAACAGGGACCAATGCGAAGATCTGCACAGAAGTGCAGTGTAGTATCAGTACAACCGACCTCATGTACTGGTAATTGTCGAACCTAACCTCGACAAAATAGTGACGAGGCTAAGGCAAGACACATGCATAATAAACTTGTGCAATTTAACAGTATATGTACAAAATAACGGCAAGTACAAGATAGACAGATAATACCGGGAGGAGGACATGGTGAGGGGATTATGAGATAGAAAATCACAGCAGTAATGAGAACCTGATGAACCGATATACCTTGAACAAATAAACAAGTAAGCCACTAAAAGAAAATGCACGGCATCATCCTTCGTGCTTTTACTCTCGACCTCACCATATGAATCAATAGAAACGACATCGCATCACCCTTCGTGCATTAACTCTCTCATAAAATGGCACGGCATCACTATTCGTGCATTAACACTCACAATATGGCACATCATCACCCTTCATGCATTAACACTCACAAAACATGGCACGGCATCGCCCTTGCATTATCACTCTCCCTCACATGCATTATCCCGTCTAAGTCAAGTTTTACTACCTGCAGATGTCGCAAATGCAGCCTGGGCTTTGCAAATGCGATGCCCGCAAATGCGAAGGAGCCATCGCAAATGCGAAGCCCTTCACACTTCTACTGCATTCGCAAATGCGAAGATAAGTTCGCAAATGCACACTTGAACTTCTACAAATGCGACTCAATGATCGCATTTGCGATCACTGCCCTCCCAGACTCACTTCGCAAATGCAAAGTATTTCTCGCAATTGCGATGACTGTATGGCCTAGCTACTCTTCGCATTTGCGATGAGTAGCTTGCAAATGAGAGACTGTCATGCTCGCAAATGCGAACTGTGATCTTGCAAATGCGAGATCAGAGGCCAGTTCCCAGAAACTGCAGACACCAGCAAAAAATATTCTAAGTCCAATTTCACCACGTAGCCTATCTGAAACTCACCCGAGCCCTCGGGGCTGTAAACCAAAAGTGCACACAACACTAAAAATATCATACGAACTTCCCCGCGCAATCAAATCGCCAAAATAACACCTAGAACTACGAATTGAACACCAAATCAAATGAAATTTTCAAGGAAACTTTGAAACTTCTATTTTCACAACTGGACGTCCGAATCACGTCAAACCAACTCTGTTTCTCACCAAATTTAACAGACAAGTCATAAATGTGATATTCGACCTATAACGGGTTCTGGAACCAAAATACGGACCCGATATCCAAAAAGTCAAACCTCGGTCAAACATTTCCATTTCATTAAATCTTTAACTTTCAAATTTTGACAAACTCCGATATCTCGGGCTAGGGACTTCCGATTTCGATTTCGGGCACCCTCAAGTCCCAAATCACAATACGGACCCATCGAGACCATCAAAACATGTATCAGGGTCCGTATATCAAAAATGTTAACCGAAGTCAGCTCAAATGAAGTTTTTAGGCAAAATTTCTTATTTTTATCAACTTTTAACATAAAAGCTTTCCGAAAACACGCCGGGAGAGTGCACGCAAATCGAGGAGGGTAAAAATGAGATTTTAAGGCTTAAAAGCGCAGAATTGAGTTCTAAAATATAAGATGACCTTTCGGGTCATCACATTCTCCACCTCTAAGATAACCGTTCGTCCTCGAACGGACATAGAAAAGTACCTGAACGGGTGAAAAGGTGGGGATATCTACTCCGCATGTTCGACTCGGACTCCCAAGTAGTTGCCTCGACGGGCTGACTCCTCCACTGCACTCGAACTGAAGGATAACTCTTTGATCTCAACTGATGAACCTGCTGGGCTAGAATAGCCACCAGCTCCTCCTCATAGGTCAAATCCTTGTCCAACTAGACAGAGCTGGAATATAACACGTGGGACGGATCATCGTGATACTTCCGAAGTATGGACACATGGAACACTAGATGGACCGCTCATAAACCAGGTGACAACGCAAGTCTGTAAGCCACTTCTCCCACTCGCTCAAGAATCTCAAAAGGTCCGATGTATCTAGGGCTCAACTTTCCCTTCTTTCCAAACCTCATTACACCCTTCATGAGTGACACACGGAGCAACACTCTCTCTCCGACCATGAATGCAACATCACGGACTTAAGTCGGCATAACTCTTCTGCCTGGACTGAGTTGTGCGAAGTCTATCCCGAATGATCTTAACCTTATCCAAGGCATCCTGTACCCAATAACCGAGCCTCCCCCGGCTCAAACTTTCTAACCGGCGATCGACACCGCCTACCATATAATGCCTCACAGGGAGCCATCTGGATGCTCGATTGATAGCTATTATTGTAGGCAAACCCCGCTAGTGGAAAGAACTGATTCCACGAACCTCCGAAGTCTATAACATAAGCGCGAAACATATCCTCTAATATCCGAATAGTGCGCTCGGACTGTCCGTCCATCTGAGGATGAATGCTGTGCTCAACTCGACCTCCGTGCCCAACTCACGCTGCACTGCCTTCCAGAAATGGGAGGTGAACTACGTACCTCGATTAGAAATGATAGACACGGGCACACTATTGAGACGAACGATCTCGCGGATATAAATCTCTGCCAACCGCTCTGAAGAATAGGTAACTGCCATAGGAATGAAATGCGTTGACTAGGTCAGTCTATCCACAATGACCTAAACTGCATCTAACTTCCTCTAAGTCCGTGGGAGTCTAACAACAAAATCCATAGTAATACTCTGCCAGTTCCACTCAGGAATGTCTATCTTCTGAAGTAAACCACCAGGTTTCCTATGTTCGTACTTTACTTGCTGACATTTTAGACACCGAGCTACATCTGCCACTATATCCTTCTTTATTCTCCTCCACCATTAATGCTGCCGCAAGTCCTGATACATCTTGGTGGCGCCCGGATGGATAGAATACCGGGAACTGTGGGCCTCCTCCAGAATCAACTCACGATGTCCATCCACATTAGGTACACAAATACGACCCTGCATCCTCAAAACTCCATCATCTTCAACTGTAACCTGCTTGGAATTACCGTGCCGCACTGTGTCTGTAAGGCCCCGTGAAATTTGTACTCAAGGCATAACACTTCGTCGAATCAAAATTTCCGTATATGTGTTGAGAATATGTAATATTTTACTGATTTTGCACTTAAAAACCGAGAGTCAAAATTTTCCAGAAAATTGCCATTATGCAGTCTAGAATGATGTCGCAGATCAGTTATGCGGACAGCATTTCTGCCGCAGAGTGAAACAGAAGAATTTTCAATATTGATGTTGAAGATGCGGTCCATTATGCGATCGCATAACCAATATGCGGACCGCAGAATCGTCGCATAAATTCCTCAAGGATTTGTGGAGGCCAGTTCTGCGGTGCAAAATGCAACCGCATAACAGGAATGCGGACCGCATTCCTGTCGCAGACCCAAACAGACCCTTCGGAGTTTTGGGGGCACTTCTACGGTCCAATTTGCGGACCGCATTTCGATTCTGTGATCGCAGAATGCGACCGCATATCTTGCTCGGGCTCCTATTTTTTCTAAATTTTAAAACCCGACCCCTTTGTAATAAAACACCCCAACCCCTCATTTTTAACATTCTTCTGAACAAAAATAAGAGAGAGGAAGAGAGGGTTCTTGAGAAATTTGGTTCTTCAAAACTATCCGGGCCGGGAAAATTCAAAGTAATTGTCCTCATCTCCATCCTTACAGGTAAAATTCCTAACCTTTTTCCTTGATTTTCAGGTTTAATCTAGGGGGGGGGAGTCTCATGCATTAATTCTTGAAAGTTATGGTTGAAATTGTGCATGCATGTCTATTAGAACCTAAAATCTAGTAGGAATAATTGGGTGGGAGCAAAGACTTGTGCGAAGAAGGGGTTAATAACCTAAATATGTTCTGGTAGTGATTGTGAACCTTGAATTCTAAGTTATGTGTATTAATTTGTGCACTATATTGACGTTGCTAGATAATTTGGTGAATTGGAAGTAGAAATTAAAAAGGAATTCAGCTCCAGGTATGTATGGCTAACCTTGACCTTGTAAAATCGCCTTGTTGGTGTTCAAATGTTTAGTATGTGGCATCTACGTGGGTAAATTGTGAAATTCATGTGATTGACATGATTGCGAATATAATATGTGGTATTAGCTGAGAAACAAATGACAGAAGGAAATTGTAAGTGATGTAACTGGAATAATTGTGATAGTAACATCTATGGCTTATCGTGGACAAGTATTGTTGTAACGTAAAACACTTGTGAATTGTTGAATATGACGGAAATAGTATTAACGGTTATGGGGATACTTGTAAATTGTTGTTGCTACTTCTTAAGGAGTGTTGTTGTGATCTTCGTGAATTATTCATTGTTGTTGTTGTGATTGTTTGTGAAATGAAACTGTACGGTGGGATCGGGTTGCGCGCCGCAACGCGAAGTAATAAGGTGTGGGTTGTGGTGATAAGGGTGGCCGAGGTAATAAGGGTGGAAAGTGATCGAAATCACTGTTGAAATGAAAATATGAGCAAAAATGCGAAATTTATTGATGTGGAAATGTGGAAGGGGAAACAGGAGAGTTTGTAAAACTTGT